TTCTAGCTAAGGTTGGTCTTGGTGAAACCCGTTTGAGTCTGATCAAAGGCATTTGCGACTCGTGTAGAGAATGTCGTGCCTGGGAGAAACCAGGCAACACGGCGATGCCTTCTGTGTCACTGCCAGGACGTTTCAACGAGGAAGTCGAATGTGATCTTTTCTTTTACAAACAGGAACACATTGTTTTTCACATCATCGACCGTTGTATTCGCTGGGCAGCTGGCACAGAGATTCCTGATAAGACCATGCATACTGTTCTCGATGCCTATCACACAACTTGGATGCAACACGGCCCTGCTAAAATCTTATACTCCGATGGGGAAGGAGCACTGAATAACGATACAGCAAGGGCCATCCTTAAGGCTAAGGGAACAGAGCTTCGTATCCGAGCGCGTGGCCAACACGCCACGACTATCGAAGCTAGGAATGGCATCCTGCGACACCTCATACACGTGATGGGAGAAGAATTGAATAGATTGAATATTCTTCTGAATTTCACTCGTCTTTTACATGAAGCCTTGTTTGCCAGCAACGCATTTACCTTCTACAACGAAGCTTCTCCGTATAATGCGCTATATGACAAACAACCAGCTATGCTTCCCGATTTCCCTGTCTTGGATCATGATCAGTCCGCTGAATCATCAGATCACTCAAGGGAAGAGACAATCAGGAGGGTTAGTCTGGAGGCAATCACGCAGGCCACTGCGGTTGCCAAGACGAACAGGGCTCTTCGTACGAAGACTACTGCTACGGGTGAATTTCACTACAGAGAGGGAGATCTCGTGGACTATCATCGCCCGACCACCACGAAAGACGACTGGGGTGGATGGAGTGGTCCATACCCGGTCATCCGCAACGAACCTGACCGAGGCCAGGTCATCGTGAAGGTCGGCAGTCGCGAAGTGCGAGTACAGTATCCTGACACACGACATACGCTGTACATCGAAGCACTGATGGTCCGCGAGATAGGATCGGACAATGCGGCCCTTCGGACAGTATTGGCCTTTATTGCCGGTCTGCCAGCGGGGAAACCCGCTATGACTTTCGGATACCTACCAGCGAAACAGGGCCGACTGCAGATGACTGCTGCGAGCCGGCTCTCGCCTAAGGTGCACTTGGCTCTTCAATATCTCATTCGCAACTATTTTCGCATTGAAAACGTGGTTGCTGTGCGACTTGCTAAGAGCCTGACTAAGTTGCCTGCTGCACCCTATGCAGACAGCTGTACACTAGTGCACTATGATGACGATGTGACCCCTGGCTTTCATTATTATGAAGCTGATGGCACTGCCTTGAACATCTACGACATCACAGGGTCTACACATTCACGCATCATCCAGTGTCTTAAATCCAAGAAGCCGCCTGCTGGATTCGACCGAGACCTCACTAAGTTTGAGGAACTCGCTGATGGTCCACCACCAAGCGAGCCACCTCCAGCAGCTGCTCCTGAGCAGCCTCCTGCGGCGAATGATGGTCGGCTCCCGACCATCATAGAGGAAACAGAAGAGGATCTGGATGTCTTTGTCTTGGAGTCATGGTATGCTGAACTGATGGATGACAGAACACTTCTTGAAACTGGCACAGAAGAAGTCATGCACACAGTTCCTACATACATGACAGACTCACAGTGCGTGTTGGTCTCTACGACCTGTAAAGATGTGCAAGGCCACTTGCCGGTGCGGGGTCACCCGCCAGGATACGACATGGACACTTCTTACTACTTTCCTCTGTGCTCCACTGATCCGGACAGCCACTATGATCTGGACTCCGACGAGCACGGGAAGTACATCGAGCTTTGCTTCACAGCAGACATGTCCAAGGTCGTCCTGTCTGAGCAGCAACACCGATTGTTGGATGACAGCAGCGTCACAACTATGCGAGTATATGTTAGTGCTGCCTCCAAACGCGCCGCGGTCGTCAAAGAAGACGACCTACTCACGAAGGCCGACATTCAAGCGAATCCGGTCAAAGTTTCCAAAGCCCCTTACACAGAATTGAAGACTTGGCTTGACAACAAATGCTTCCAGATGACTGACTTGAGCAAAACGTCGAACATCATGACTTCACGTTATGTATACAAATGGAAGTTTGTCAAGAACGAGAAGGGCGAAATGGAACGGACGACCAGGTTACGCTTGGCACTTCGTGGCTTCATGGACATTGAAGCCTTCGATGTCGAAACCTTCTCTGGCACGGCAAGGAGGTCAAACCAGAGACTGCTCGCAAATTCTGCTGCATGCAACAAAGCTTGGATCATCGCTTCCCTGGATATCAACATGGCTTTCTTGGAGGGACTGACCTATAGCGAGCTCGCCGCGGCGACGGGCGAGAAAGAGCGTGTGGTGTGCTTCACACTACCTCCTGGGTCAGCAGCTGTCCTTCGCACATTGCCAGGCTTTGAGTCATACGACGAATCAAAGCATTGTCTTCGGTGCCTGAAGCCGGGGACTGGCACGAAGGATGCTCCCAGGGCATTCTCGCTGAAGCTCAGGTCCATCACCAGGAGCTTTGGACTACAGCCTACTTCATACGATGAAGAGTTTGAGATGAGTTCAAACCTCTTGACAGCCAAACACGTTGATGACATCAATATGACTGGGAAGGAAGATTCCATTGATAAGTACGTCAAATGTGTTGAAGATACGTTTGGGAAGTGCAAACTGAACAAGCACACATATACAAATTGTGCCGTTCGGTACAACACGACCGATGATGGGAGCGTCACTCTTGATCAGGACGAATACTTCAAACAACTTCGTCCTATCACACATCCAGAGCTCACAGGCGCTGATCCTGAGAGCAAAGCGACAAATACGATTTCTGATATGTTCGTCAGTCTTCGTGGCGCTCTAGCCTATGCGTTGATCACGCAGGTATGGCTGATGGTCTATGTTGTTTCACTGCAACGTATCCAGGAACCGACAAACATCCAGGTACGACGACTGAACGCGGTTACCAGGAAATTGCAGGCAGGTCCGAAGAAGATCGCGCATCAAGCTATGACTCCAACAGGAGAGGTCGACCTGCATAGCGATTGTGGCTATCGTCGTCTCAACGGAGATGAAGACGACGAAGTCAAAGGCTACGGTATCCGCGGGGCTAACCTGCTGAGGCGTGGCCACACGCAAGCGGGGAAACCCGTCGTGCACCTGGTGGACGCATACTGCAAGTCTCATCGACTGCAGGTGCGTTCGAGCTACTCTGCGGAAACATTGGCAGCAGCCCACAACTTGGAAGACTGCTACCCGACCATTGTAACGCTCTACGAGCTACACTCGGGACCATTGACCCCCACACAGTTGAAGAACATATTGGAACTGGGTGGTCTATGTATCAAAGTCACTCTGACTATTGATGCCGAGTCTGTCTTCAAGTCTCTGTCTAGCAAAGATCTGAAGAAGCCCACATAATGCACTCTGCTTGGGCACATCAGCTGGATCCGCCAGATGATGGAGCGCGGAATCGTTGAAAGCGTCCAATGGTGTGACACGCGGGATATGACTGCCGATGGTCATACCAAAGGTAGTATTGACCGCGCGTTGCTCCTACAGGTAATGGCCGGTCAGCAATCCTTCAAGCACGAGCTGAAGAAACATACTCCGTATAGGGCGGGCAGGTCGTCTCAGGACGGCCCTGCCTCCCGAGCTAGCGGGGAAACCCGCACGCAGGTGCGCTTTAGTAGCGAGGAAACTCGCCGGCAGCGAGGCTACTCGCGCGCCCTTGCCTTGTAGGCAGCCGCTGTTGCCTAGCACTGTTTTTTCCGCGTAATGTAGAAATGCGGTGCTTGCTCGTCTCCTCCCCCTCCAACTTTAAACGGAGAGGGTTAAAGGCGAGATGTAAATCGAGCATGCACCGCTGCCGTGCCTGGCTCAAGCCGGGCCCGGCCGAACATGTGATTGTGCCTCACCGAGGCGCACTACTCGCATCTGAGATCGGAAAAGACCTTTCTATTGAAGATGCCCCTTCTATCTTTTACTCCAGATCCCATGCTTCATCTTGCTCTCTTGCTCATGCGGTATGAGCCAAAGCCTGGGATATGGGAGCGCCTAAGGCGGAACATATATCTTGGCTTACCAGTGCGTTTTCGACTTTCCCTTCCCCCCTCCCCTACCCGTACCCCTCCCACTCCATCCATTTTCCTATCTCTCCTTCCCACACCCTTACCATTAAGTCGAGCCTGTTCCTCTACAGGGGGAATATTCAAACATAGTCAAACATAGTTTGTTTTTTGGCTAATAGTATGTTTTGACAATGTTGGGGCATTAGTGGAGCATGTTTTTTATTGTTCGTCCAAAATTCCCCGGTAGGCCCGACCTAACCTTACTTCTCACTCCTTTGGAGATGCGCTCCCCTCCACCCCCGAACAGCGCACAGCGCAATCGCATGACTACGGAAGTCTCTAGGTGCACCTTTCTGGAGGTCTCCGGATGTCCCCAGAGACTCGGAGGATTCCGAACGTTCAGAGAGGAGAGCACAAGTCCAGAACCCTTCGAAAACCTCGATCCCGGAAGCTCGATCCTGGCTCCTTTCGCCTGTCGGCCATCAGCGTCGTGGTTGTGCCAGTGCTGAGCCGGGTGCAGCTGTGCTACCTGGTCGAGGCCTCTGGCTCGGAGCAGGAGGAGCAGGATGCGGAAACCAGGTTGTATCAGGCTTCAGGGCAGCTCAAATCATGGGTGTGAGGTTCGTCGTCGACGATCGTCAATTCTTGTTGGTGTTTGCGCTATTTTCTGGAGCGTGCAGAGGCGTCGGCAAGGGGAGTCATGTCGCCCGAGTGGGGGCGGAGATAACCTCGCTTGGCGCATCGCTGTCTAAGCCCGAGCGGGTGCCCTTTTCCAAGGGGGCGCCGCGAGGGCGCGCGGGCGCGAAGATAGTCGCGCAGGGTGCGATGCCCGAAGTCTGGCGACCCAGTGGAGGGAGATGGTGGGGCAGAGGGGCAAGTGGAGGGAATGGAGGAGGAGGAGGAGGAGGAGGAGGAGGAGGAGGAGGATGGGCAAGTGGACGTGAAATGGAGGTATGGAGGAGGAGGAGGAGGAGGAGGTGCAAGTGGAGAAATTGAGTAGAAAGGATGATTGGGATTAATAGGAGGAGGAGGAGGAGGAGGAGGAGGGAGGAACCAGGAGGCGACCATAACTTTGCAATTCTTCTGACCTCGGCCACCCGGGAGGCCTACGTGCGCCCCTTCCTGCTGAAGCGGCGAGATGAGAGGCGGAAGGAGGGCGGCACGGCCCTGATGGCGCTGTCCCAGGGCCAGGTCGCTCCCTCCCCTCGCTTTCCACAAACCTCACTCCCTCCTCACTGCTCCTTCTCCCCTCCTCTTCCTCCTCGTCCTCCTCCTCCTGTCTCCTCCCCTCTTCCTCCTCGTCCCTAACCTCCTCCTCCTCCTCGTGCTCCTCCTCCTCCTCCTCCTCGTCCTGCTCCTCCTCTTACTCCTCTTCCCCTCCTCCTGCTGCTCCTCCTCCTCCTCCTCCTCCTCCTCCTCCTCCTTTTCCTCCTCCTCGTCCTCCCCCTCCTCCTCCTCCTCCTGCTTCCTCCTCCTTCTCCCCCGCTTCCTCATCCACCTCCTGCTCGGCCTCCTCCTCCTCCTCCTCCTCCTCCTCCTCCTCCTCCTCCTCCTCCTCCTCCTCCTCCTCCTCCTCCTCCTCTCGCTTCCCCTGCTCCGCCCCTCCCCTCCCATCGCTTCCCCTGCTCCGCCTCTCACGTTGTGATGTTCCAACCTACTTTAGCCTTGACCTCCAGAAAGAAGTTCGAGCACCCAAAAAGCACCGAAACTCTAGGGCTTCCACGTGCCGGGCCCTGGGAGGCACCTGTTTCGACACTCGACACTTCTCCGGGTGCTCGAAATTGTTTTCTGGGGTGTGGTCCTCAAGTGCGATGCGAGCAACACAACCATCACGCTGCTGACGCGAGTGCGCGGGTGTGTTTGGGCCTTCGAGAGAACCGCGGGGCCCGTCACCCTGGCCCCCCGGGCCCCGGCGGCGCCGATCGCAGACCACACCCCTTGCGCAGCCATGCCCTCCCCGGACATGCGACGTCCTGATTCTTTCGGGACGGCGCCCCCGAGAGTCCCGACCCTTTCCCCAGGGCCGGTTTTTCCTCCCGAGTCGTTTTTGGATGGTCCCGGGGCCCCGC